TCTTCTTCTTCTTCTTCTTCTTCTTCTTCTTCTTCTTCTTCTTCTCTGTTTTTAGTTAGTAGTTTATGAGTGAGCAAAGATAACTTTTTAAAGAAATAAAATTTAAAGTAGTGTTTTTTTCAATGTTAGTGTTCATGCAGAACATTAAAGGCAACAGAAACTGACTGGGGAGGAATGGTTTTACTCCTTGGAGAAATGTGGGAATGCTTGTGAACCTCTGCCTGCAACAGCAGAGTGGTGGGAAGGGAAGAAATGTGACTTCAGGTTCTTTCTCCTGTTCCAGGCAGGACTCCTGAAGCCTGAGAGGTCCGTGCGTGGCAGGCGGAGACGAGGTACCAGGTCTCAAAGGCAGTGATCGGTGGAAGAGTCATTCACCCATGACGCCTCTTTATACCCCATCCATCTCTCCACCCTCATCACTACTGTTTTAGACCGTTAAATGGAAAAAAAAATCAACTGCACTAAAATTATGCTGTTGTTGTGTCAACTATTATTATAGCAACCACTATTAAAGACAAGAAAAAAAAACATACATAGGAGAAAGATATAGTCAGATAAATTTATTTTTAAACAGTGAAGAAATGAGATTTTGTGGATACATTTTTCACTAGATTTTCTCTTAGGTTATAAAATGATGTCTGAACATTGTGATCAAAGATCTTTCAGTTAGGTTGGTGTTAGAGTTGTGTCAATGAAAAGCAGAGTAACAAACGAGTACTGTTTTCTTCTCATCAGTGTGTTGCTCATGAGTCAGGATAATGCCCGTTTACTTGAACGATGCTCTCTGTTGAACGTGTGTTTGAACACGTGTTGATTAGTGTGTCTTGTGTGTGTGTTTGTGTGTTGGACAACAGTGCTGTTTCTGAGCCCCCACTGTCTGACTGTTTGTCAAATTTATTTTTGTGTCGATAAAGTAAAGGAGAACTCGTCTTTCTTTGCTGTTGTATTTTGGAGACAGTGGTTGTTTTGAGAAGACACATAAAAAAAGGTTTTTAGAAAGTGCTGAAAGAGAGAATGCAGATACGACTTTTTTTTTCTTCTTAAAAGTGTGATGTGAACTCAAAATGGGCCGTGTTAAGGAAACTGTCAGGCTTCTTTGGATTTTTCCAGCAGTCACAGAAAAAATAATTTTGTATCAGATATAACTCCTTATTACTTTAAAATGTATATTAGCAATTTAAAAAAAAGTTTTTTTGGACAACTTTCAATTAATCTTATATGCCAGGTCCACAAATGTTTTCTTCAATGACTGAATTTGTGAAGTTTGCGATTCCACACTATCTGGAACACCTGGTGAGAGCAGATTGCCTCATTTCTGCCGCCTTGTTACATTTCACACACCCTTCTTTGTGTAACCGATTACATGTAGCATTAGAGACATTTAAAATAAAACCCACTCTTAACTTCTCACCCTCCAACTAGAATTTAAAGTCAAAGGGGTTGAATTTAGAATCTGAACATTTGCACAAAACTTGAGTTCATAGGAAGTACTGTATGTCCTTTTGATTGGTTGAATGGTTTGAGGGGATTCTTAAACAGAGTGATGATGTCTTGTGTTTATCTGTTGGGTTTGTGTTTCTTGGAGCGATAACCTCCCCATTTGCTCGTATCACCTTTTGAACTCTCCTCCTCACTGCCCTGCCCTACGAGTTCTGGCATCTAGCTGTATTTAAAAAAAATAAAAATAAAAAATTAAGAAAACTGAAAAGGAAAGCAGATTATGCAATTTCTATACTTGGAAATTTGTATATATGTACAGTTAATGTGTTTGATTTTATATTGTCAAAGCGAGACAAGAGAAAACAATTGTTAATTTTTTTTTTTTTTGGAATTGTAATTACTTTTCTCATTCTACCCCTTTGATTTCAATACTTATGTTTAAAAAAGATTAAATTGTGGACTGTAGCGTTCTTTTTATATGGGAGTCATTTTTTTATTTAATATTAAACTATTTACACAAAATGCTTTTTGTGTTAATTGCAGTTTTTACTGTGTGTCATCAAAATAACTATTGATGTTACTTCAAGAAATAGAAAACATTTTTGGTAATTTCTGATGGAGCAGCTTTTCTACTCTTTATGGTATTTAGGCAGCTCAGCTTTTTTCGTATGTATATGTTAATTTTAGGTGGAGCAACTATTCTTGAGATTCATTTTAGGTGAAGCGGCTTTTTATTTATTTACAACTTACTGTAATTTATGCATTTCAGCTTTTCACCGAATTTACAGTAATACATTTTAGGTTGCACATTTTTTCTAGTATTTACGCTAATAAACTTTTGGTGGAACACTTAGACATGGTAATTTATGCAGCTCATCTTTTCCCAAATTTACAGTAATTAACTTTAGATTGGGAAACTTTTCTAGAATTTATAGTAATTGTTTCTGGTGAAGCAACTTTTTTACAGCTTACTTGGGTAGCTTTGCTTTTCCTACATTTACAGTAAATAATCATAGTGTTGCACAGTTTTTTTTTAGTATTTATGGTAATTTTATGTGGAGCTGCCTTTTTACGATTTATGGTACAGTGGGCATCTCAGCTTTTCCCTTATTTACAGTAATTAATTTGAGGTTGCACAGCATTTATAGCATTTATGGTAATTTTAGGTGTAGCAGCTTTTCTTGCAGTTATGGTAATTTTATGTGTAGCAGTTTATTTATTTTGCCATTTAGGGTAATTTTTGATGGAGCAGCTTTTTTATAACTTAAGGTAATTTAATTTAAGCGTGTCAGCTTTTACACGAATTTACAGTGATTAATATTAGGTGGAGCAGCTTTTCTATCATTTAGTTAGTTAGTTAACCAATGGGTTAAACATGTTTTTTTTTTGTTTTTTTTTTTGTATTTGTCTGCAGAGAGAAGCTGCTAGACATGAAAAACAAAGTTGTAAGTGAAGAAATAGCATAACTGTCACTTTAAATGTATATGCTGGTCCTTTTCTGGAGATTTAAAAAAAGACTGTTTTTGTGTTCGGGGTGTGACGTCACACCGTTAGGCTCTGCCTTGACTGTGAGGATGCTGAGGCTGAGGGCTGCCGCTTTAACGGATGCAGACCACGCCCTTCCTGTAGCCGCCGGTAGAGGGCGCTGTTTGAAGCGGAGCAGGCCGAGCAGCAGCAGCTTCACTGCCCTTCCTGCAGCATCTCACCTTCAGCCGGCCACACGAACCTCCGCCGACGACCCTGAAGGAGACAAACGGAGACAGCGCGGACAAACAGCGCCTGAAAACACGAGAGGAAGAGATTAACATCCGGTCTCGCTGCTTTTATTACGTAGCTGCTCGTTTCGCCATTTGACACCTCCATCCGGTCCTCCTCACTGCGACAGAAACCCGGTCCAGCTGCGCATCAGTTTTTATCATCTTGTCAAAACAAAACAGCTTCCTCCTCCTCCTCCTCGTTTCGCAGCTCTCCTTTAAATACATTTTTAACAGTTGGGCCTCTGTGTTCTCCTCCAGCCTCAGCATCCTCCTCCTCTTCCTCCTCAGCATCATCACCATCCTTGAATCTGCGCCATGGCCGACATACCAGCGGAGTGTAATATAAAAGTGCTGTGTCGCTTCCGACCCCTCAACCAGTCCGAGATAGTTCGCGGGGACCTGTTTTTACCCAAATTCCAAGGAGATGACACCGTCGCGGTCGGGGTAAGTGAACAGGGCCCCCGGCTTTGTTGTGCGCTCAGGGGCCCCACCTCCTCCTCCATCCATAAATCATCAGCTCGACCCATCTGTTTGGGCTGGACACAGGGACATGGCACACCCTGGTTCTGGTTCTGATGGAGCTGAAATGTCTTGTTTTTAATGAAATGCGCACATTCACTGCATCAGCTGATCTGTTCAAGCTCGTGCACGAGGCTGAGTCAGGCCCAACATCATGGTGGTCATTAAAAAACACAAACAACTGGAAATGTTTAATAAGAATTAATCTGGAGGCTGTGTAATCCATTCTGGACGCTAACTTTACTCAAATTAGGGAAATACTGTTTTTTCATAACACAATATTTATTTTCTATAATGTGTTTATTACTCAGATAATATTATTAAATACCCTGTTAATAAAAAATCTGGGTATAAG